ATATATACGGTATATAGAAACACACTAGGAAGATGAAACACTCCACCACATTTTTGCTTACAGGTACAGATTGTTGTCACAAAAACTTGTTTTTCCTTTCCTCCAAAAACAGAATCTACAAGCAAGGAACTACCAGACGGACACACGTCAAATGTTCCAAACAGACACACGTCAAAGATTCCAAACAGACACACGTCAAAGACTCCCCCACCTGTCACACCGAGCCCACCCCGGTCTCCTCCCTCCCTGCAGACAGCCACTCACGCCACACCGGCCTTGGTGACGTCAAACGAACCAGCCCCTGCAGCTCCCACCAGCCATCCCCCAGTTGTCAGCGACAGAGCTAACATTGCACCAGCACCACCAGCACCAGCACCACCACCACCAACAACAACAACAACAAGCGCTGGAGACCGCCCCAGAATCGTCGAGGCTAATCTCGAGTATCGACAACTTCTCACCCATTTATTCGACGGCAATGGCGCACAAACGCCTCACACCAACACACCGATTCGGAAAGCAGAGATCATTCTTCGAGGCAACGGTTCAAATTATCCGACTCAGAAATTTGAAAAGAGCAATGTTCCCATCAACCCAAAGCAGCCAAAACTGTTCGTTTCGCCGGGCGAGGATCCAGCTAACCGTGACGGAAGACAGAACCATCCGCAGAACGCGGGTCCCCAAGACCGCCGTGAGAAGGACGTGTTCTTGTCGAGCAAACCCTCGGCAGAGCTCGTTCTCCTGGTGGTGTGTGCCGTCCTCTTCTGTGTTCTCTTCACTGGACTCATCCGTTGGGGAATCAAGAGACGAGGGCGCGACAAACACGGCCTGACACTGACCGACCACCAGCGCCGCATGATGCAGTGTGTGCCGCTACACGCCAGAAAGCCGCCCGACTGGACAATGGCGACAATCTACGAGTGTGAAGAGACCCCGGAGGTCAGCCCATCCCCACCATCAACACAGAGGACTTCCTGTGTGGTAGACATCGGGACTTCCCGACCGGACGTTCCGCACCAAGACCTTCCTCCACGACCGTCGGGTTTCCCCGATACCAGCAGCACGGAGGGACTCTCACTACTCTCTGACCGGGCGACTTCCCAGAGTGGGACAGCCCAGGACACTTTACTGGAGGACCTGGAGGGAAGCGGCAGCAGTAGCGAAGACGACATGTGGTCTGCCGATGAATGCGCCGGGCGGTACATCCCGGAGATCTCGAGCCCACACAGCACCAGCGTGGCGTCTACCACTCGGGAATCAAACAACATCTCAACGGACAGAAACCCCTGTGGCGCAGGATGCCGGGTAGTACACGAAGACCAAGTGTTACTTCTCCCACCAAGTCACTCACAGCAACTTGAAGCTACCACAGCTCCCGGCGCAGACAGCAACAACAACAACGAGAATACTAACGATAACAACAGCGGCAACAACAAGAACATACGTAGTGGTAGCACCGGCAGCAGATTCTTGAGTTCCTTGACAGAAACATTGCGTCATTTCAACAGAGACTGGGTCGGCATGAACTTGCTACAGACCCGTCCTTCAGAAAGAGAAAATTCTGAAAGAACGAATCATTGTCGTGGAAGTGCTCACGAAAACTCACGGGACGCTCAACACAACTCACTCAGAGGCGGAGACGGAAGTGGCCACAGCTCTGACTTCTCCCACCATCCTCCCCAAGCCACGCCCTCACTGTCTCACTCCACCCCCCCAACTGACACCACCACACCTCCAACTGACATCACCACACCTCCAATGTCTCACTTCACACCTCCAACTGACAGCACCACACCCCCAACTGACAGCACCACACCCCCAACTGACAGTACCACACCTCCAACTGACAGCACCCCGCCTCAGCCATCTGTAGAGACGGAGATTGTCTATGACGACTCATTCCCCGCACGTCCAAGATACCAGCAACTCGAAGCTCCTCAAGCTCCAATACTTTCTTCAACACAAAACGCTATGGTGTCTTCTACAAGTCCTTTATCACCAGAACTTGGAGGAGGAAGATACGTTGTTTTTTATAACAGAGAGTTTAACAACGTGTGCCAAAGTCCCTGTGTTCACCAAAATGAAAGTCCCTGTGTTCACCAAAATGAAAGTCCCTGTGTTCACCAAAATGAAAGTCCCTGTGTTCACCAAAATGGTGGCTCAGACGAAGGAACCGCTCACGAAGATCTTTACAGCGTCGTGTTCAGAAGTCGAGCGGACCGACCGTGCACGCCCCCGCCCCAGGCCCGACACCTCCGACCGTGCATGAGGAGATCTATCGAGAGGCGCAGAATACACAGGCACTATTCCAACCGACACCAACACATTTACGCCAACGCCCCTCAAAGTACACACGACTCGCCGGCACAACACACTGCTCCCACCGCACCGTCTATGAGCCAGCTTCTGCTTCACGCCTACAACCACGCCCACAGCCACGCCCATAACCACGCCCACACCCACAGTCACGCCCACACCTACAGTCACGCCCATAGCCACGCCCACAACCATGCCCACACCCAGAGCCAGACTGGAGACTCTCAAGCCCCCTCTGCGGTCATCGACGAGAGACTGACGACTGATGACACAGTGAGGCCTCCACCACCAAACTACTCGCAGCACACGTCCCCCGGACAACAACCGTCACTCTCCCAGTCTCAGACCGCCCCTCACACGTCCTGTCAACCGTCCCTGTCCCAGTCTCAGACCGCCCCTCACATGTCCTGTCAACCGTCCCTCTCCCAGTCTCAGACCTCCCCCCACATGTCCTGTCAACCGTCCCTCTCCCAGTCTCAGACCGCCCCTCACATGTCCTGTCAACCGTCCCTCTCCCAGTCTCAGACCTCCCCTCACATGTCCTGTCAACCGTCCCTCTCCCAGTCTCAGACCT